GGCAACTCTTAGTCAATTTTAACTTTATCACACACTGAAGCTTTTTATTATACACTTTTAAAACTTACTCAGACCTTTATATAACATTTTAAACCCTTTGATGGTTTGTCCTTACCCCTCCTATTTGAAATAATCTTTAGGACAAACCTTCTTTACAAAATCCTTCCTCATCCAAAAAAACCCATTCCTTTTTCCCTTAACTTCTCAAAAAATACATTCAATAACTATCTATATCCTTTCCAGTTGTTTACTTTGTAACTTGTATTTTTAAAATTAACTTTTATAAGAATTTTATTTTATTATAGGGGCTGAAGCAACTAATTAGTAGCCCTTGGTTTTGTTTTGTTTTGTTTTTTAAGGAATTTATGATAGGCATAAGGCCTTGTGTCCTTTAGGCTTGAGGGGATATTGTTTTTGGGTGTGGAAACTGTGAGGGATTTTTGAGCTTTATTTGAATAGGGAGGGCTGTCCTGGCTTGCCCTACACTTACCCCATCAGTCCACACTGTGGGATCTATTTGTTCCTGAAGGAGGGGGCATCAGAGATAGCTGCCTGGGGGGAGGAGAATTTGAGCTTTTAGTTGAGATAGTAAATCCCATCCCAGCAGAGGCACTGGAGTTTCAGGAACTATGAGAAAAGAGTGACAGAAGAGGAGGTCTCCCCAAGAGCAGGCCAGAGACTGGGTAAACTAGTGCTCTAGGGGCTGGCCAGATTTGCACCGAATGATAACTTTTGTCATTGGACTGGGGACCTGGAGAGAAAGGTAAGACAGAGAAATTAGCACCACTGTCTAGCAGGAAAATGACCTTTCGCTTTTCTGCCATTATGGCTACCCTGAGGCTCCTCAACATTGATGCCAATAAGTGGAGCATGGACAGGAGGCCAGGACCCATCAATTCATAGGATGTGTGTTGGGTCCTCTATGGATTCTCTTAGCTATGGCAGGCGTTCCGCTGTGCCCAGGGGCCAGCATCCCTGTGCATCAGCGTGCCTGTTTGTTTTCCCTCCTCCCCTTGTGGGGGTGGAGTTAGGGTGTGAGTGTAGCAGCCACAGGTTTTTGGGGTTTTTTTGCAAGCCCTTCTGCCTTCACTGGTGCCTAGCAGTTGATTTAAAGTTGCTTTAGACCGAGGGGGCTGAGAAACTAATGGGAATAACTTAAGTCATAAGGTACCATGCTACAAGTTTTTCATGGGAGGCCAGGGTCCCAGTAAGCCCAAGGAGGGGAAGGCAGACAGAGACAAAGGACACACAGTGAGACCACGGAGGGAGCAGAAAAGGTGTCCTGACATCTTAGGTAAAGGAGGGGAAGGCAGAACCTGGAGGTATGACACATGCCTGAGGGATGAGTGATCACCTGTGCCTCTAGGTCACTCCCACTGCGTGGTACTGGAACACTTTCAGCAACACGAAACCTCCACTCTGTGGTCACTGTCTCAGGCAGAAGGGGCATTAGACAGGGGAAAAAGAAGCAGTTGTCAGATGCCATAATCAATCAGGACTCCCTCAACGTAGCATGAAGCATACCTGAATAAACCCCAGTCTTGGTCTCAGCCCATAGGGAGGGAGCATGAGCTCCTCCAGAGCCGGAATTGCCTTGATGCCAGAGTTGGCAAGGAGTGGCTGGCTTGACACCATGACGGGAAAGTCCCTCAGGAAGATAGGAAGAGACAGGCAGGGCAAGCAGTGCAAGAAGTCTGCTTACATGGGGAAGGAGGAAGTTCAGGAGAGGATTTGGTTGTTTTAGAGGCTAATAGAACCTGCGCAGGGGAACAGGAAGTACAGAAGGAGGGTTTGGTGTGGAGATAGGAAAAGGATTGGATGTAGGCTATTTCCTTCCATTTATCAGTGCGCTCACAGAAATTGTATAAATCCCTTAAAATATTGGGATCGAAAGTGCCATTAAATGGCCATTTGGAAGCATTGTCTAATGGATATCGGGGCCAGGCCTGATTACAGAGAAAAATGAGCTTTTGGGGCTTAAGATAAGGCATGAGGCGAAAGGGCCAAAGGTTGGCCAGGAGACATCCCAATGGGGAGTCTGAGGGAATTTGGGATGGTCCAACTCCCATGGTGAGGCCTGAATTGAGGAGAAGATATGACGGACATCCCCGAGATACTGGTTCCTCAGGCGAGAATAGAGGTGGGACTCCCAGAAGGGATGTCTCCATCACCAGGGGCCCACAGTCCTAGGGGACCCGGTCCCCAGGGATGAAAGCAAGCTGAGACCTAGCACTAGGATTTTGAGGAAATGAGAAAATGAGATCACGGCTCTGCATGCAAGGAGGACTCACCAAGAGAGGACCTTGAGGGAGGATTGACTGGTGGTTGATGGTGATTGGAGGTGCACTGGGGTGGAGGAAATTCCCTGTGAGCAATGAGGGCACCTTCTAGGATTGGGGGTCCTGGCAAGGCAGCTCAAATCCTGGAGGAAGGGAATGGGAGTTTAGGGGGGTGGGGATGGGGGGTGCCAGGAGAGCAAGGTCAGTGCTGGGAGCGCACCTGATCCGAGTCACATCACCAAAATGTTAGGAAAAATGCCGCTCACAAAGAGAGCTCATGAGAAAAGTCTCATGTCCAAGAGCAAGGTTTAATGGCAGGCTTGAACTGCCAGGCTGGCCAGGGAAATATGGCACAGCACAGACTCTGGGCTAGGTGTGGCTTTTATAGAAGAGGGAGCTTAAGGAAGTTAGCACATGCACAGCAGTCTCCGTTAGGGGTGGAGCTGTCTTAGAGTACGGGAATTTCTGTTAAGGGTGGGGATGCCAGTGGGGGTGAGCTACCCAGAGGCTCCATTTCTCAAGAAGTGAGGCCTGAGGATAAAATGGCCACTGATTCACAAAATGGCAATGTTATTGTTCCTTCAAAATCCAAATCCATTTCTTGACTTTTTGACCAACTTTAGGAGCTATACCTGTTTCTCTTCCCCCTTTTGTAACAAAGCTCCTTAGAATTTCCAAAATGCACTTTCTCCAGTTCCTTCCCTCTTGTGCTCTTGAAGTGACTTCAGCCAAGCTTATTTCCTCACCAGACTGCTAATGCTACCTTTGCCCAGGTCTCCAATGACCTCCTAAATGCCCAATACAGTTGCCAATTTGATTTCCTTTTGTGCCCAAACCATATGTGACCCATGTAAATTTCAAAGACATCCAGGAATGTTAACAGAACTGTGACATTGATATCCCCACACCTCAAACCTACAGCTAATCATTTCACAACCTGATTTTTTCATAGGTCTGGTTGTTTGTGTCATGCTAACATCAATTTTTATTGATGTGTGATCCTCAAGGCATTTTTCAGCTCCATCAGAGAAACTTCTCATCTTAGACTAGTGGAGGGTAAGGAAAGGAGAGAAGGCCAAGTAGGGGACGAGAAGTAGTCAAATCCACGGCTCAGATTTTACAAGTGGTTGAGTAATGTACTTACCTTGCTAATTCTCTTTAGTTCAATTTGTACAAATGATAATTTTTTTCCTCTGGTTATTTTTAAAATTTCAGGTGACATGAAGAATGACACATCTGACTCTATAGAGACCAACCATAGTTTTATAGCACATCCTCAACTTGAAAGATCCAATTCTTGGAATGCAGGTTCTTGGCATTCCATCCTAAATTGCCCTGTAACCCCCTTTCATCACAGTGCCATCCAACTTGAGACCATCAGAGCAACACCTGGATTCTAAAACTAAGGCCACTCTCCTTCCAGCTACATGGGCGATGGGTATTTCTACAGGGGTCAGTATATCTACAGGTCACAGGTGCTGCTATAGGGGTCAGTGTATCTGTAGGTGTCAGTTTGCTATAGTGATCATGATCAGTACATCTATAGGTGACAGGTGTTGTAGGGGTCAGTATATATACAAGTGACAGGTGCTCCTATAGGGGTCAGTATAGCTATAGGTGTCAAGTTGCTATAGAGTCAGTATATCTACAGGTGACAGATATTGCTATAAGAGTCAGTATAGCTACAGGTGTCAGGCATTCTATAGGGGGTTAGTGTATTCACAGGTGTCAGGTCACTATACAGGTCAATATGTTTACAGGTGTCAGGCATTGCTGTAGGGGGTCAATATATCTACAAGTGACAGGTGTTGCTGTAGGAGTTAGTATATATACAGGTGACAAGTGCTGCTGTAGGGATAAGTATATCTATAGGTGTCAAGTTGCTGTAGAATCAGTATATCTATAGATGTCAGGTATTGCTATAGGGGTCAGTATATCTAGAGGTGACAGTTGTTTAGGGATCAATATATCTACAAGTGACAGGCATTGCTACAGGGATCAGTGTATCCACAGTTGTCATGTGTTGCAATAAGAATCAATTTATCTATAGGTTGCTGATGTTGTTACAAGAATCAGTATATCTACTATATAGGTATTGCTGTAGGGATCAGAATATCTACAGACCAAGAGAGAGGACTTTGACTAAGGAGGTGAGGTGGTGACAAAAAAGGAATCGAGGATTGTTAGGAAGTAATATTGTATGTATTCATACAGGCTATGCAGTCTAACCTCATTGTTTTTTGGCAGTACTGGGGTTTGAACTCAGATCCTAGTGCATGCTAGGCAGGTGATCTACCACTTGAGCCACACCCCCACCCTTTTTCTTGCTTTTAGCTATTTTTCATGTATGATCTTGTACTTTTGCCTAGGGCTACCCTGGTCTGTAATCCTCCTATGTAATGTATGGCCTCTCACATAGCTGAAATCACAGTTGTAGGCCACCAGGCCTGGCTGATTGATTGAGATGAGTTCTTGATAACTTTTTTCCTGGGCTGGCCTCAGCCTGTAGTCCTATCTCTGCTCCCTGAGTAACTGGGATTATAGGAATGAGCCACTGTGCCTGATTTAGCTTCAGTATTTTTTTAAATTAAGAATATTATTTTTTAAAAGTATTTCTGATTTTGTCTCTCTCTGTAATAACGATGTGATTAACATGTTTAATGGAGAGACACAGCTGAGATGAGCTGTTTTTGAGAACTTTTCTTTCCCTTTTTTCTGCAGTAATTTCACGCAGACCTGGTCTTGTTCAAGTGTTTTTCATTGCAGCGATAGCCTTCAGCATTGCCTTGATATGTGGCATCGTGGTCTCCTACGTGATACAGTAAGTGTCTGCCACCTTTAAATAATTAGACAACAAATCCACTTGGAGATTGTGCAGTGTCAAATGATGATGACTGTGGTAATGATGATAATTCTTATAACTGTTAAATTATGATAGGCATTATCCATTTCCAGACAATGTTTTTCAAAATGTGGATTGAACTCATGTTGGGTCATGAAAATACATAAAAAGAAAGAAAGTAAAAAGAAACAGGACAGAATGAAAATTAGCAGAACAGAAGATATCGGAAACCAGGTACAGTGGTGCATGCCTGCAATTCCAGTATTTGGAAGGCTGAGAAAGGAGAATCATGAGTTTGGGGCCAGCCTGAGCTACATAGAGAAAGCCTGTCTCATAAAAAAATAGAGAAAGAGAACATTTTGGTAAATGTTACAGTGTTAAAAGGCTGCATTTTACCTTTCAGACAGACATACCCACACATCACACACACACACTAGGTCATGGAGGAAAATGTATTTCCTCTAGCGGGTCACGGTCAAAACATCTGAAAGACACCACTTGAGACAGCACATCATCCAAATATGATGTTTGGGATGAACTTGGCACTTTGGAAGGAATCTTAACCGTGCAAAGCATTGCCTTTTTTCATCAGAAACTTGTCAATGCAGTCTGGAGCAATGGTAGATTTAGGGAAAGATACTTTACTGTTCTCAGTGCAATCAAAGCTTGGGATCATGCTCTTTCCAGTGGCACAGTCATGTTGACATTATTTGTAGATGAGAGACCATGCTGTTCAGACCAGAGTCAATAAGCTCCGGTTCCTACTCTAGTATTCACTTCCAGGATTTCATTACCTACCCTCAGAAACATCCAAAGAAGGACCAGCTTACTTGATCTATGAGAATCAAGTACGAAAACAGGGAATATATGAATGGAGTATTTTTAAGGTAGCCATTTTAAGATCACCTTGAGTGTGTCAAATGAAAGTAAAAGGGCATAGGTAAAAAAGAAAGAAATATTATTATTGAGAAAGTTTAATCTGTAGGGTTTTTTTTTCTTTTGAAAAAGGGTCTCAGTATATAGCCCAGGCTGGCCTTGAACTCAAGATCCTTCTGCCTTGACCTCTTAATGCTGGACTTACAGGCATGAAACACTGTGCCTGGCTTTCAACCTGGGTGTTTGGTTCTGATTTATCTAATGTGATGATATAGACTGACTTGATTGATGCAATGACAATTTCTGTGTATTTCCTTATTGTAGAAAAAGGAGGTAGCAAGGCATGGTGGTTCATGCCTGTAATTCCTGCTCTCAGGAGACCGAGGTGAGGGGATCTTACGTTTGAGGCTAGCCAGGGCTACATTTCAAGAACCTGGGTCTAAAAGCAAAATAAGGGGCGGTGGAGTGGCTGAAGAGGTAAGAGTGCCTGCCTAGCAAGCATGAGGCCCTGAGTTCAAAACCTGAGTGCTGTGTTCTCCCCCCCCAAAAAAAATCCAAAATAACAAAAAAATGTTTTCTAAGACAACTCATAAAAACATATCTCCTGAACATTCAGTGCTTGGTCAATTTGTTGACCCAAAGTCAACTCTTATGATTGCCACATTTGGGTTACCTCATTACATATTGGTGCCAACCTGTGGGAGGCTGAAGGGAAAACACATGGCCCAATGAACATGTTTTTCTGTGACTTTTAGTGCTATATCTTTTCCAAAACTAGATTGTGAGAATACTATTGGTGAGTTTATTTTGTTTGAGACTGGTCTTGCTATGTATCCCAGGCTGGCCTTGAATTTGTATGGAGCCTAGACTGGCCTGGAACTTGTGACCCTCCTGCCTCAGCATCCCAAGTGCAGGGATTGTAGGGATGCATTACACATGCCTAGCTAGTTTTTTTTCCATTTAAACCTGGAAAATAAAACAATAAATCTCGTTTAAAACATTTAAACCTAAAATATTTAAGTCTAAAATAATGTCATGATTTCTCATACACCAGCTTTCAATCTTTAAACACATTCTCAACTCCTTTAGTATTTTGGAATAGAAAAATCACTTGAAATTCAGCACAGCACTGTTGGATCCTATCTGTATTAAAATTTTGATATTTAGGTTATTATGGATTTTTTTCAATTTCAGTTTTTGAAAATATTGGGTTAAAATATTTGTTTTCATTCTTGGGCATCTTTGGAACCCCCTTAAATTTTGTACTTGAGACTACTACCTTCCTCTGCTTCAATGTCTTAAATATTTTTAATGTGTATTACCAGGTTTTGTTTTGTTTTTTTAGCATACTGGGGTTTGAACTTAGGGCCTAATTCTTCCTATGCAGGGGCTCTGCCACCTGAGCCACTCTATCAGCCCTTTTTTGTGTTGGGTATTTTCAAGGTAGGGTCTCAAGAACTATTTGCTTGGGGATTACCTTGAACTGAGATCCTCCTGATCTCTGCTTTCCCAGTAGATATAATTACAGGGGTGAGGTGCTGGTGCCTGACCCAGGTGAGATCATGCCATCTCATAGCATGCTTCTGGAATCCTTTCCGTGTACCCCCTTTCTCCATCACTGCCACCTTTGGACTACAAACAAGCTAACCCTAAAAGCAATATTAGTAAGTCATGCAGAACTAGGGAGCATGCCAGGAAAAAGTGAAGTGCTAGCGTCCATTTCCACACTGAACAGAAACAGCCATCAGTGATCCACTTCTGGGATTAGACCTACAGGGATTAAGGGAGTGCTGAAAAACTCAGTAGTCAGGATAAATACTTAAAGTTTAGATCAATTCCAAAAAATATCCACAATGAACAAAATATCAATATTTTATGTATAGGATCACTACCAGTGCTGGGTCAAGCCATACTGGAGTCTCATCAAAAGGAAAATTTAGTAATACCCTCCCTCCCTCCCTTCCTTCCTTCCTTCCTTCCTTCCTTCCTTCCTTCCTTCCTTCCTTCCTTCCTTCCTTCCTTCCTTCCTTCCTTCCTCCCTTCCTCCCTCCCTCCTTCCCTCCCTCCTTTCCTTCTTTCTTCTTCTTCTTCTTCTTTTCTTTCTCTGTCTCTTTTTCTTTCTTTCTTTCTCTCTCTCTTTCTCTTTCTTTCTTCCCTCCCCTCCCTCCTCCTGCCCTCCCTCCCTCCCTCCCTCTCTGACTATTAAAAATGACTGACTATTAAAAATATTATTTTTGTTCATTATGGATATCTTGGCATTGATTTTTATTTTGTAATATTGCATCAAAATAGGGTTTGTCTTGATCATAGAGTCTTTTTGTCAACTCTCTAAAGTTTATACCCAATATGAGTGCCTTATTCACTCTAGTTCTGGCTTTGATCCATTTGTTGGGATGATCAGAGTTAGTCTTTGGCAGAAATCAGTTGATAAGCACAGAAAACTAAGATCTGCCTATGATTAATCTGGTTCAAAAGTCTATTTCTTCCTCCCTTCCCTACTTACCACTGCATACAAAGAACTTTTTAGTCAGAACATCCCATGATTAAGACATGATGAGTCATTGGGAAAACTGTGGTTCTAAGTTCACGTATATCCTTTTCCAGTCGACTGGTAAAGGCAGAGGAAAGCCAACAGCTTGCAATGCTTTATGAAAATGTGGAGATACCATTCTTAGATGAGAAGGAAGGCTCCGAGGATGACGGCCAGGATGAGTCCACCCACCTGCTCCCAGAGAATGAGAAGGAACTGGCGAAGTTCATCAGTTCAGGTAGAGATAACCAGTTCAGCTTGTCAGATTTAAGGTCACAAGACAGCTTAGCTGGCAATGATGCTTTGTTTTTCAAAGGCAAAGATAGGTGGGGGCTATAGAGTTTGAGATAAGAAAGATGGATACTTACGTCCACACCTCCACAAATAAGCCATTTGGATACTTACTTAAAATATCTAGAGGAAAAAAAAACATATAGTTATCCTAACATCTGCAGATTTCCTTTAACAATTCCAGATGTGGACAGCCTGAAGGAACCAGAGAGACCAGGAAGAGATAACTGATGCTTTTTGAGGCAGACAGCCCTTATAACCCATAGAAGAAATATGTTTTTGAGATCGGGTCTTGCTAGGTAGCCCCGGCTGGCTTCAAAGTCATGATCCTCCTGAGTGCTGGGATTACTGGTGTGTGCACCACAGTGCCCATCAGAAAATATTGTGCTATTTTTTCATTATGTTGAATTAAACCTTTCTAAATTATTTATTAGTGTAAAGTTTGAATACATGAAGTGGGAAAATACTTTTAAAATTCATTTGTTTAGCTGGATTGTGGTGGTGCACACCTCTAGTTCTAATACTTGGGAGGCTAAGGCAGTAGGATTGTGAGTTTGAGGCCAGTCTGGGCTACACAGAGACCTTGTCTCACACAAAAACCCACAAATAAAATAAAAATTCAGTTTTCACTATTCTTATCAGAAAAATAGTATTCATTATCCCCTGAAAATCCTACCACCTGTATATTTATTTTTCTATGTTTTTTTTACCTCACTCTTTTTGTCTTCACTCTTCATATACCAGAATCTCAATAACTGCTACATTTAGTTATTAGATCAAAAAGAAGAGAAAATCTTCAAAGGAAGAAATTAAGGGAAGAGCAACAGTTACCAAAGATAAGCAGTGCTGTGGTGCACAGTGCAAACATGGAGGATTTGTGAAAGCAGATGAAAGAGGTAGGATGTGCCAGCCAGCATGGAGAGAGAATTGCAGTGATGACAGATGACTGAATACATGAGACGGACTTGCTCCCAAAGAACCTGTAGAAAATGACTCCCCTATAGAAGGAAACATCAGAAGTACAAATCAGAAAATAAATTCATATGATATATTCTTTCTCTTTTGCTCTCATAGCTTGTGAATAATTATCACTTAATTGGAAAACATAAAATCCAAGTTTGTTGGGGTTGGAAGAAATTGTCAGGATTTTCTTATCACTATGACTAGAAATAGAACTATTTCCTTTGGGCAGTCCCCCAGATTATGCCAGCACATGCTTTCATTAAATAAAATCGTACCAATGTTATTTTCTGTCAAATATGGTTGTTTACCTCCATTTTACATACGAGGAAACAGAGGCTGCCAAAATAAACATGACAGCAGATGAAGACACATCCCTGTCAGGTTCCAGGTCTGTTGAGGGAAGTAGGTCTTCAGGTGAGGAGCACTAAACATGGCCAAAGATAGCGAGTGCTATAAATGGAGTGTTGCCAAGAGCTGTGGGAACACAGAGGAGACAAGATTTAGTTCAAATGGTGCAGTTGTTTTGGAAAACAGTCTGTTTTCCTAGAAAAGTTCCTAGAAAGATAAACAGAGTTACCATATGACCCACCATTCCACTCTTAGGAACACATTTAAGGGAATCAAAAACCTGAACACAAATGTTTAGAGCATTGTTATTCAGCTAGGAGTGTGGTACATGTCTGTAATCCCAGCACTCAGGAGGCTGAGGCAGGAGAATTGGGAGTTTATGAACATACTCCCAATTTGAATCTGTCTCAAAAAGCAAAAGAAAACAAAACAAAAAAACACACACAACCCCAAACTCATAAGAGCCAGAAGGTGGAAACACCCAAATGCTAATCACCTGATAAATAGATTCACAAAATCATATCTATTTATACAGTGGAATACTTTTCAGCAATAAAAGGGAATGAAGTCCTGATGCACACTACAACATAAATGAAAACATTACACTAAGTGTAAGAAGCCAGACACAAATTGTGTGATTCCATTTATATAAACCTGTAGTTGCAGAGGATGGAATAGTGGTTCAAGGGGCTATGGGGAGGGGAGAAAGAAAAGAACTACTAATGGAATTGGGGTTTCTTTTTTGAGTAATGAAAATGTTAAAAAATTTGATAGAGATGGTTTTGCAACAATGGGATTATACTATAAATCACAGAATTTCATAATTTTACAGCAGTGAATTTTGCAGTATATGACTTTAGTTCCAATTATGCTACAAATGAATAAAATTTAGATTAACGTGAAGATGGACTGAAGTCAGACCCAAGTCTCCTGATTCTTCCTTTCTGTTTCCATCTTTCCAAAGTTAAATTTAAAAATTAAAAACATTATACAGTGTGATATAGGAACAGTGGTACTGTATGGTAGAAGTTAGAACAGTCTGTTTACCAACAGTGTAAACCTGCCTGAATAGTGTAGCCACGGAAGGAACTGTGTGTGGGACAGGTGGCCCAGCTGACAGCAGGACCAGGGACCAGCCAGTGCACTGTACTGACTCACTCTTGGGGCCTGGAGGGGCCTTCAGTGTCCATCACTGTGATCTCATCCCCACAGGAAAAAGCCACATCCACCCAGCTTCTCTAAGACAAAATCCCAACCCAGGGAGACACTAACATGCAAGTCTGCTGTTACAATGGGCTCAGCCTGTTATAAAAAATTATGCGTATTGACTTAAAGGAAAAAATATTTATTTCTCACAGTTGTGGCAGCTGGAAATACCAAGATCAGAGAGAGAGAGGGAGATCTTGGTCTCTTCTTGGAAGATTTTAAGAGCTCCAACCACATGACCTAATTACCTCCCAAAGTCTATATCAGCACATTGAGGATTCGAGTTTAAACACATGAATTTTGGGTGCACATATTCAGTCTATAGCAACTGCTTTTATTTGTGTTTGTTTGTTTGTTGGTAATGGGGTTTGAACACAGGGCCTCCAGGTTGCTAGGCAGATACTTTATCACTTGAGCCATGCTCCTAACCCTTTTTGCTTTAGTTACTTTTCAGGTAGAGTCTTGTGGTTTTTTTTAATTTTTATTTTTTTTAGGCCTAAGGCTGACCTCAGACCATGATCCTCCTACCAATGGTCTCTTGTGTTGCTAGGATCACAGGTGTGAACCATCAAAGTGAGATGGGGGCCTCACTTTTTGTCCTGGGCTGGGCTTGAACTTTGATCCTCTGATCTCCACCTCCCAAGTAGCTGTAATTACAGGTGTGAGCCACTGAGCCTGGCTAGAGCAACTGCTTTTATAAACATTTGCCTACTCAATATATATTTGTTGGGAAGAAGCCATGTGCCAGCAACTGGTTTATTTGATAAACAATGTGGCAAAGCAAGTTTAAATATCAGCAAATAATAAAACATTGCTCAGCTGCATGACCTGCAAAATTAGTGTTTTAAAAGTCAACTAAAAGCAAGTAACTGAAAGCAAGTGAAGTGTTAACCACTAAGTGAGCTTTTGGAGCAAACTCCTATTTCAATGGACCTTCAAAGTGCCCTTTCCTCTTTTTTTTCAGTTAAAACTTTATGATGAAAGCTGAGTACCTCTGTCCACCATCTTTATGATGTGAACTAAGCATGCCTCAAAGTGTTCATGTCCACCATTTTAACCTTTCAAGCATGTGCTCCATGACCTTGATCCATGGTTTCTCACTCATACCCCCTAATGTCCTTATGTAAGGGGGAAAATGTGAGGGGAAATAAAATGGCAGGAATGTTCCTGGGAACAAATGACAGAAATGACCCTGGGGAATATAAAGGGACAGATTGCAGACGTAACTGTGTTATAGATAAAAAGAGCCAGGAAGACAACTTAAAAGCAGAACATTTAGGGAGATGTGAGAAACCAGCTTTGCACGCAGGTGCTGAAGCACAGCAAACTTTACCGAGGTAGAAAAGGGAGTCTCAGTGAGATAATGAGTGGTAGTCATAAAATATACATGACAGGTTCCAAGAATAGGATGGACTAACAAGACCCTCTTGGAATATCCTGTCTGATAGGGATGGTGGGGCAACTGGAGGGTCAGACTCAACCGAAAGTTAATTATAACTACAGCTTCAAAGTAGAGTGGGGCGGGTGCCTAAAGTCAGCTCTTGAACTTCAGCCATTCTTTGGCTTAGTTCTTTCACTAAGTCCCACCCATCAGGGTGCTTTGCTATCCTTTCAATAAACTTTGTGATTGCTTTACTCTTAACTCCTGGTCTGGTGTGAACTTGCTGTAACTCTCAACTTCTTCTCCAGCACCTTAAATCATCGACTGAGCCAGGACATGAACCGGGGGAACAACAATCCAGTTGGGTATCACTTATAGTGAGAAAATCAGGCTATTGGTGAACTGGGTGGGAGAACCTAGCCCAGCACTTCTGCAGATCCCTGTGAGGTCTTCACCCACCAAGCCTGCCTAACCTCCTGCTGCTTCTTCTTGGAATTTACTGTGTTTCAAAAAATACATATCTCAGGGCGGAGATTTTTCAAGTGTTTGCTCAATGGCTCATTTGTTTAAGAGGTCTCCCTTGCTGTGCTATGTGAGAAACATTCCTTACTCTACTTCTAAGACCTTATCTTTTCTCATTGTGCCTTTCACATTATAACATACTATGTCATTTAGTACATCTTTCATTTTGTGTTGTCTTCCTTGAACACAATATACACCCTATGGAGAGGTTCTTTGTTTCTCCCAGTGACCCAGTGTTTCGTGTGAGCTGATAAGTGCCTGAAGCCAAGTGTTTGCTCACTGACATTGTGTTAGCACAGTGAATGAACATGGCACCTCAGATCTCCTGCATGTTTTTACAATTCTGCCTACTCTATGTGTCTCCTTAAACTGTCCTTCTACACTGATATTGCTCCATGATTTCAAGAATGAAAAATCATATTTGGAGACAACAAAGTGACTAATCTTATCACATGCTTTGCTAATTCTATCTTTTATCAGCTGTAAATATTACTAAAAATTCTTTGGCATTTTCATTCTTTTCAACATCCAATGGCATTTCACTAGACACGTTTTTGTCACTACTTTTGAAGTATGGTGTAATCATTATTAATATCTTTCCATAATTTGCATTTTACATTTTTTCCCTGAGTAATATCAATTCCTAATGCAGAACAGTTCCTGTAATCAGGAAATGATAATTCCCATCAATGAGAAAAGTACACAGATTTGAGATATTCCTCACATTTCAGGAGTGAGAGCACTCTGTACATACATATTTCACTTTGTGAATGCTTTACTCCTTGTGCCTTTTCACAATTCCATTTCTTTTATTGTTCTCTTTTTGAGGTTGATGTCAGGTTCCTAAAAGGATGTGAGTATAAAGATATGGAAAAAAGATTAAATTCATAAAAGAGTTGCATAAAATTGGACCCAGTGATCAACTGTACTGACTATACAGGCAGGAGAGATATTTTTAGAGATCCATCTTTGTACTCCTGTTACAGGGAACCTCAACATCTCACCTCAGTCTTCCTATTCACGTCCCTGTCTATAGTATCTTTTCTCTTGTCCCTGAATGAACATAGAGTTTGGTAAAGCTGACTATGATGTTTTAGACTGCATAACATTTTTTTTTATTGAGAAACTTTTATTTCACTACACCCTTAGTTAGGAAAAAGAAGATAAAAATGAATAGGCCTAAAAGAATTCACATAAAAAAAAAAAAAACCACATAAAGAACTAATGAACCAGTCAGAATAAGAGCAACATGAAGAATAATCACTCTCCGTAGAAAGGAAGCCATTTTTAGGTGCTGATAATCTGCAAGTGTTTCGTGCAATAGTTCTCAACACTTCATTAGAATTTGCATTGTTTGGTTTCACAATGCTTGTAGTTTTTGGAAATATGTGACATTTTAAAATTATAACAAAATCGTATCAACAATAATTGGAATAGAAGTCCAACAATTTTTGTTTTTGC